CAGGGTGTTTCAAAAAATATGTGCCATCACTCGCGGAGAAATTCCTCTCGTAAAAATTAGATATTTATTTGTCATTTTAACATAGGTCTGATTCAGCTTTGCTTCGTAGCTACAGGGGGTCAAGTCGTCATCTTTTCAGTTTATTGCGAGTATACTTTTCTTCCAAGTTTTTTTAAAAATGCTGATTAAAAGTTGTCTCTTGATATTTTGTCGATTTCGGTATCCTTGATGAGACAAACGCAATTTAATTAATTTGCCTTATATTTTAATATCATTAAAAATGAACTCCCGTGTCATAGGTGTAGGTTATTGGGATGACTTGTTATTGTTTATTTTTGAGGTATTTACATATGCGTATTTATACATTTTACAATTTTGTAATATTTACAAAAAGTAGTCAATAAAGATTGTTATTATAATGGTCTATCGACTTAAATAAACTCTTACTCACGATATATTCGATCTCATCCGGCTTCTAATAAGCGAATACGTCGAATATAACAGAGCTTGTAATGATAATAACAACCCCAAAGTTCCTAACTGGCCATGGAGTACGACAGGGAGTCGCGATATCCCCAAAGCTGTTTACAGCAACATTAGAAGAAATCTTCCATTAACTGGACTGGGCCAACAAAGGATTAAAAATAGATGAAGAATAAATAAAATATATAAGATTCGCTGATGACATAGTCCCAATTGCCAATAGTGCTGAACAATTACAAGCATAAATTAATGAACTAAGGGAGGAAACCCAGCAATAGGGAGGGTCTCAGAATGAATTTAGCAAAAACTAAAGTAATGTACAACAAACTAGTGGAAGAAAAGACATTCTAATAAATACACTAGAAACACTGGAAATAGTAGAATATATATATTTGGGACAGAATAATTTAGTTAGAATGGAACTTATGGAAGGAACTCAATCATATTCAAATCTAGAATGCCACTCTATCTAAAGAAGAAAACATTCGACCAATGTGTACAACAAGCCATGGCCTATGCATGCCAAACCTGGACACTTAAAACGGACGTCATAACGAAACTGCAGGTCGCACAGCGCTCAATGGCACGAAATATACTGGGAATAATCAAGAGAGACCGTAAAAGGGGAATAGAGTAGATACGACAAAAGACCCAAGTAATAAATGTCATTCACAGATTCAAATCCCTCAAATGGCAATGGGCAGGATACTAATCTAACCTAACCCAATCCAACATGCAAGAAGAACGGACAACAGATAGACTACAAAAATTACAGCATGGTACCCATGAGGAATTAAAAGACCTAGAAGAAGATCGAACCTGAGATGGGACCATTATATTAGGAAATTAGCAGGGATAACTTGTGCCCGCATAGCCAACAAAAGACAACAATGAGCGTAACTACAAAGAGAGTATCTAAATATGTGAGGGAGGCTACACCATAACTGGAAATGGTTGGATAAGCTGAAAATGATTATGATGATGATAATGCTGATGATAAGCAGAGCATCTAGATTTTACAGACTTTTACTAGAGTGTTCGGATTTGACCCGTCCATATACTCACGTCATTTAACGTCGCCGTCGCTTCACTGTAATGATCGCTGTGGCATTTCGTTTTTTTTTTCAAGTTTTCCTAGAAAAAAAAATATTTATTTACTAAATCATCATAGCTCACATTCCTTAAATTAGTTTGCATTTAGTTTTTTTAAGATATTCGCAATAAAAGAAAATTTCGGGTTGGTCCTAATTGCAATAAGTTGGTCTGATACAAGTCAATTTGTCACTTGCCAGGATCTTGTATTTTGCTTCTTATATCAATATCATTACGAATAAATTTGAATGAATTATTAAATTTCATACTCAGTATTACCTAATCATAATTCTATAATAAATGTATATTTTTTTAATAAGAAATTAAAGCTGGTATTAATTAAAGTTTAGTTAGTTTTGATGAAAATATAATTCGTTTTAATGCCAAATTTAAATTATTCCGGAATCGTAGCCAATTATACGAATATGTTACCATATTTATAGAGATATCTAGACACAAAAGTGCGATACTTGATAGTTTAAAGAGAATTAATTACTGGATCTAGTTAAAACTGGTACTGCAGTTAGTAAATTAAATTTAATTTATTCAAAACGGCAACGGAAATGTAAAGCAAAATTTAAAAGACCAGTTAGATATACAGTGATAACAGTAAACATGTATGAATATATAAATTTGAACTGTTTTCTTCACCTGACGACAAATTTTATTGCAAATAGCAGAATTACATATTAAAGTGCAAACATATTTTATAAATCTAGCTATGGTCAAGTGCTACATTTATTTTGTGGTCTTAAATGGAATGGTCCCTGGACTACAATGACGAAATGTGGTTATTTTGTTCGATGCTGCTGATATCTTGGGCGGAGCACATGTCAAATGACGCTGTATTAATTGCATGAAGCAAGAAAGTGAGCTTCTAAGTATTATAAAGGAAAGAAATCTGCATAATTTGGCCTTGCTACCTTATCATCAAAGGTTAAAATCGAAGGTTACCAGGTGCAGGCAGAAGACAGATGTCTTGAATGAGAAACATAAGGGATTGGACAGGAATAGATGTTCAAACACTCGTCAGAACAGCAGAAAGACGAGAAGAATTTGCTGTGGTTATCGCTAATCTTTGTTGAGAAAAGGCACCTGAAGAAGAAGCCCTAGTAGAGGTTGTTGCGTTACTACCCGGTAGTATAACAACCCATATTCTTTCAACAAAGTTGAAGAGGTAATATTTTGGGAAATTTGTGGAGGATAGGTTATGTAAATCAAATGCTAAATTTGTAAATAGCCCCTCTTATTTTATTAAATGAAATAAAAGGAGTGCCTGGAATTCACAAGTAAAAGAGCAAGGCAGAGAAAATCCTGATCACTATTCCAGAGAATCCAACTATGCTGTTCTGAATTTTAATTAAAGAGAAATAATAATAATACAAGTTTCAATTCAAGGTTTAACGGTCAATTCAAGGTTTAACGTTTAATATATTCATAACTGAAGAGGTTTTGTTAGTTAACAGGTCCCCACCTGCAGGTACTGAGGTCCCTGGGATGCGGGAGGCTACTCAACTAGAGTTGATATGGTTGGTGCCAATATCTTTAGACTATGAGTTATACTATACCATTTATTTGTTTTGACTGCTCATTTGGGTGTTAAGATATTCGCCCAGGCACGGTTGGAAATTATAAGTACACGCAACAAGGCCCTTATTGTCACATTATACTGTCAAAAAGTGTTGTACAAACTACTGTCATAAACGTTGCCAATAATGTCAAAAATGTTGTCAGAAATAATGCCAAAAATATTGCACTGTTGTTATAAGTTGTGTCTCAAAAAGTCATACTGAACCAAAAACATCGGGACGAAATTGGTCTGTTTTAACAGGTAAACCTATTTCCTGACTAGATAGAGTAAAACCGACATCGATGTCATGGACACGATTTCTGAGACACTTTCAATGGCGTAAATCGCCTGTAGATATTTTCACTGCCAACTGAGATACGGGGTCTTTTTGAATTTTTTACCATTTGGAAAATTGCCCATAACTTTTGTATTTCGCGGAATAATAAAATTCTGTAAAAACGTTCTATTAAGCACAATTCAGTGGCGTATTCAGTTTTTTTCTATAATTCTTCTTTTTGTCAGAAATAATAAAAAATTTAATTTTTTTAAATGGAAATCATAGCTGGCTATGAACTTAAAAAAATGTTGGCGTTTAACAATAATTTTAACACCTGTCATTATCATCTCTATTCGTCGTCAGATTTCCCTCTCACTAGTTTGTGAAGAGAGTGTCTTAAAAATGAATCTTTTGAATTTAAAGAAAAATGTTTATTTTTAAATAGGCGGTTCATCGATTAAGGCAAGTTAAGATTACGAAATTAAGGTCATTGTTTAAAATTGATTAAAATTTTAGTCAGTTATGACAATACTACGATTTTTAACAAAAAAACTTAACTTGGACACTTAAAACGGACATTTTAAGGAAACTACAGGTCGCAGAACAATGCTATGCTCAATGGAACAGAATGTGCTCGGAATATCCAAGAAAGACCATAAAGGAATAGAGTGGATACGACAAAAGACCCAGGTAATAGATGTCATCAACGAAATAAAATTCCTCAAGTGGCAATGGACAAGACACCTGGCAAGAAGGACAGATGGACCACAACCAAATTACAGCATGGTATAGTATTTCCGAAGTCAACTGGAATTAGTGAGATTCTTAATACCTTACCCTAAGACAGTGCTGAAATTAAGAGTCCCAATCTATTTCAACTGACTTCAGATATTCCCATGAGGAATTACGAGACCTAGAAGAAGACCAAACCTGAGATGGGACCTTGATATTAGGAAATTAGCAGGGATTACTTGGGCCCGTATAGCCAACAATAGACAATAATTACCGAGATAATTACCCAATAGGCCAAAAGAGAGTATCTAAATATGTGGGGGAGGCTACACCATAATTGGAAATGGTTGAATAAGCTTATTCAACCATTTCCAATTATGGTGTAAATGATGATAATGATGATACATTATTAGCTTTTTGTAATCTGTTATTTTTTTCACATGGTTGATATATTGATATGTCTCCACATATACTAACTCTGTATCATCAACTAGTGTCTATATATGTATTTTCTTTGTTTCTTTTACTACCTGCATTACTTTGGTTTTGGGTTTATTAAGTTTCATAACCTCCGTAATTTTTTTAAAAGAAAAAAAAAATTAGATAAAGAACTTTTATTTTCTTATTGCATGGGGATCATTGCACATAAATCCCATTATTTTCGAAAAGGCCGACGAAAGGATTCTGTCAATTCACATATCTATACGTTTTGTCGTGACCACCGGCACATATCGTAATATAACTCTTTTTCCGTCTTCGGCCGGCTTTTTTCGCGATCGGCGGGTCGTACCACGGGCGTGGTTCCCCCCGCGGTACCCACGGGGGCTCGTCGAGGTCGTGGAAGGGCCACAACAGCCGCCGCGTCGACGACGTCTTGCGGCGAAAGTGTTCGGCCGTCGGGACGGTTATACTTCGGGTCCGAAGAAGTGATAAGTGTTGTTTTGGGGTGCGAAGCGAACGGTCGCGATCCTTCGTTGATCAAGTGGTGGACTATATTGTTTTTCTCGCGGTTTTTGGGTACGCTACTCTGTTAGGTACTAGGGTGGTTGTTAGGTCCAGTTTTCTTGATTTTGGAGGACGAAGTCTTAGGTAAGCGATATTTCTATGTCTTTTAAATCCTCACCAATCTACGATATGGAAATTCAATATAAAAAAAAATATATTTAAATATGAAAACCTTAAAAAAAAACGATGGTTGAATGATTTAATTCAGAGGTTCCCAAACATTTTGTCTCGTAAACCACTTTCAAAATTTTAATGGTTTTGGTGTCCCACCTGCTGTTTCATTTCTATCATGTTTCCAAAAATCGGAAAAAAATGTGAAGATAAGTTCTAATAATGGAAATTTGCATCATGCCGTGGAGCACTTTGGGAATCACTTAAAGTAGACAAAAATAGGGTTATTTACACAACGCGTTTGTTAGAATTATTAAGGATGAAATTTAGTCTCAAATGAGAATTTTTCAGATTGCGGATATTTCGAGGCGCCTCGCGCCTTTGGTTTTAACATATTTGCCGATTAAAATTTCCAATTCTGGTTTAACCGGAAATATAGGGTTTCCATAAAGACTTTTGGAAATTCCGAACAAGTGAACTTACAAATCCGGACAAAACCCGGACATCGCAAAAAAGAAACTATAAATTTATTTATGAACTTTTATAGGACGCAAATCATAGCCCCGGAATCAACAAAACATAAACCAAAAAAACATTCACTTTCCAGAAGTGCACCAAAGGCGAAAAATTTGAGCGCTAAAGTATAGAAATGGATAATTTAGAACATGTGTCAGTTAAGTAGAGCTGTAGTATCGCAGAGACTAAAATATTCAACAAAGTAACTGAGAAATTAATTCAACTGTAACTGGTAAAATATTTTACTAAATTAAATTGTTTTTGCGGTCAGGTTTTCCGGATGCTTTTCCAAATCCGGCTCGGACTGTCCCGGACATTTTAAAAATCCGGACATGTCCGGGTAAATCCGGATGTATGGAAACATTTGCTTATTTTAAATAGAACCTTCTATATATATTTTCTTACTCTAAACAGATTTTGTATGCATAAACTGTTTTATGTTTTATATATTTTTCCGTGTTGATCAATTTGTTTATACGTATATATGTTATCACTATTTAGAAAAGGTTTTCTCTGCTTAAATTGTGATAGTAATTGATTGAATATTATACAATGTGCTTACAAAAAAAAATATAAATTTATAAAATATATTGGCGTTGGGAATAATCGTATGGTTTCAATCCTTGAGTATTGATCCTCGAGGATTCAATATTGGGATGATGATCCGAGGGATATAATAATATAATAACTATGATGCCATATTATCAGGATATTATGTTTTTTTAACTAAAAATATAATTTTTTTTGAAAAATACAAAATTTCCAATTTGCTTTTTGTGAAAAAAAACTTATAGGAATGTCCCTGTGAAAATAATTATTGTAATACTTAAAATAATTTTTTAACAATTCAACATTTTATAGAATATGTGACGATCACCTTTAGTTTTCTGAATAAACGGTTGGTAATTGTCAAGGATATTCAACAAATTAGGGAAGATTTTGACAGACGACATAAAAAAATTGACAAAAAATACAATTTGCGTGTGAATCAAAATGACTGACACAACTTTTTGACTTATTCAATTAGATTCATTCAGTTTCTGTTTCACCGGAAATACAACTTTTGATTTTTAAATGGTATCCTTGGTGTTTTTTACTTTATTTGACAGAAAATGTGAATAGAATGACATATATGTCAACTTTGTACGTCAATATAAATATACGTCATATGTCAATTTTGTGATGTCAATATGCGAAAACGTCAACTTTTGACATTTTCGCATATGGTTTATTTGAAATTGTAACATGCGGTTTATAACGACAATTTGACTCTAAATACCAAGTGTGTGGTGTCAAATTATTCGTAAAAAATGCTTTTTCCAAATATGCTAACGAGCCACCCTCGTTTCATTTGGAAAAATTGAGTTATGATTAAAAATACGATTTGGGCATCTTTTAACCGCTCAGGAAAAGGCACGAAAAAAATTAGACGATCAAATCTATCTTTCCAAAGCTCCTTGATTAAAAATTAATACTATGACATAGCCACGGCACTCAAGTAATTGCATACTTAAATCACATTTCGTTTTGTTATCTGTAAAAAACTTATAGGGGTGAGCCACTTTTGAGAAACACCCGGTATAGAGTGAAATAACGATAAATCATGGAATCTTGCTTTGTCTTACTTAAATGTTCTATCTGAATCTGTATGCATAACATAAATCAATTCTGAGTAATTTTTTTTAACTGAAATCAGTTTCTCATTTATTACTTATAGAATGTATATTATATTTTTTAAACGATTTTACTACCTTTTATTGTGGGTTAATTGATGGATGTTTGCATTTTGCTTGAATGACCAATAGTAACACATATTTACTAATTAAAACAGCCGAATTTCTTAACATACGTATGTAATTTTTCGAATTGCAAAATTGAAATAAACGCCCATTGTTTCTTAAACGTTCTAACAAGATTTTAAATGATGCGAAATAAGTTACGTGCGAAAGAAATACATTTTGATTCTTAGCAATCGTGAATAAGCGTAAAATTTTCAATTTCTGATTTCGGTAATAAAAATACAGATGAAGACTAGAAGTAAATAATGTGCTAAGTGCCAAAATTAAATAGACTAGCGCTTTATACAAGACTAGCGTGTACCCGCGACTTCGTTCGCGTCGAATTAATCATTTGTAATGGTGATGATAAAGCAAAGCAAGAATTTCCATTAACATACAAACTGCATAAAATTTTTTCACATTTATATCAGCATCAGAAAAAAATAATATGGCGATATTATTATATAACTTGGTAATATTTGAGGGGTAGTTTCATCTCGTTGGAATTTGACTTTCGAAAAATCCGTTTGCCAAAAATAAGCTTTTTACGTCAAGCAGTTTAAGCAGAATCGTGGTTAATCAATTACCCAACTTTTTGGAAAACCCTGTATGATTTAAAAAAAAATCAAAATATGTAAAAAACAAAATAAAATATGCGCGTCCAAGCGTTTTCCCGAAAGACTAAGCGTTTTTTAAATAATATATATTGTAATATTTGAGGGCCGTTTTCACCCTCTTGGAATTTGAGATTCGAGAAACCCTTCCTTATCGAACCTCTACACCCCCAGCCAATCTGTTTGCCAAATATCAGCTTTAAACGTCAAGCAGTTTAAGCAAGTAATCACTGCTATGGTCATATTTTATGAAATACCCTGTATAAATTTTTAAAAAATCTTAAAATATGTAAAACAACAAAATAAAATATACGTGTTTAAGAGTTTTCCGAAAAACTCACCGGTTTTTAAATAAAAATATTCTAATATTTGAGGGGTGGTTTCACCCCCTTAGAATTCGAGTTGTAAAAAATCCCTTCTTATCGAACCTCTACACTCTAAAGTCAATCCGTTTTCCAAAAATCAGCTTTTTACGTCAAGCGCTTTAAGCAGGATCGTGATTAATCAATGGCCAGATTTTTCGAAACAATCTTAAAATAAAATCTTAAAATCTTAAAATATGTAAAAAACAAAATAATATATACGTGTTTAAGCGTTTTTTTCGGAAATTTGACCGTTTTTTAAATAAATAATATTGTAATATTTGAGGGGTGGTTTTGCCCCCTTGGAACTGGTATTTCAAAAAATACCTTCTTATCGAACCTCTACACTCTAGAATCAACCTGTAAGCCAAAATTGAGCTTCTTACGGTGAGTGGTTTGAGCAGGATCGTGATTAATCAGTGAGTCAGTCACTTAAGGATTTTAAATATTTTTTCAGGGTCTGTAAAAGATCTCGATAAAAGAAACATATCTTCACTTTACCGTTTTTCAATTAAATCCAAAATGACCGAGTTATTTTAGTTTGAAAATGATTTTTTTGTTAAATTAATTGAACCACTGGATCTTTTTTGGGTTTTCTTTTTCGTAAATTTAATCTAATACCTATAGTTCATACCAAATAAACTTTTAGTTACGTGATTAAGCTTGGCCGGCACAGCGTTGCCCACTTTTACTATTTTCTTTTAATCAAAATATTTTAGGAAACAAAAATAGATTAATGGATTAACTGTTCAAAATATTCTAATAAGGTTGCTATGAGTTTTTTTGCAACGGCTATCAAGGTATCTTGTACATTTCGCACTAAAAGAGGTCCTAAAAAGGACAATGTTTGACTACAAGGGTTGCTAGTAAAAGTTTTTAAGCTTAAATTATTACAACACAATTCTTTTAAACCAAAAACTCGGAATATAAACTTAAAGTGTCAAAACGAATGACAATGTCAGGAAATAAATAAATGTGGCAACTTGACATTTTTTACAGCAGAGCTACCACCTGAATCCCGAGCGGGTAATTTAAATTTCAGTTAATCAGTCCGGCTCTGAATATGTCCATGATTGGCAACAATGAATTTAAAATTCGCACCCTCGATTATGTAACTAAAAGTTTAATTGGTGACGCTTATATGTGCCATATCATCAAGATATTATGTTTAATTTAAAATTTAAAAAAAATCAAAAATATTTTTTGAGAAAAAAACCTCATAGGCGTGTTTCTGGGGTCGAAATATACTAGCTCTAAAAATATTTACACTGCTCTAAATATGTTGTTGGTTATGGAACTTAGAGGACATTTTACAAATAAAACATGACAAACCGATTTTTTGGCACTTACCGCGTTATTTAATTAATGTCTTCAAATTTTATTCACGATATAGTTTTTTAAATACTAAAAATAGTGACCGGTTTAAAATAAACGACGACATTACTTTGACATGTAAATTGGATATAATAGCCTGTTATTTATCAATTTAAATTCGCGCAAGAAATGGCTTTCACTGCACTTTAAACCAGACCTGTCCGAGTTTATGAATGAATAAATTAAATATTAGTTTACTATATGATGTTGTTATATAATATTTATTGTGTACTTAGTAACAACTGTATTGATTTATAATTTGCTTGTTATGTATGGTTATTAAATATTATTTGAATAATTTTGTATGAAAGTCTGATATAAATTAAACA